AGCAATGAACCAAGTGCTTTCATGGAGCTATGACCAAGGTCCCAAGGGACCAGACTTCCACCTAACACGACATGAATGATGGCAGCTCCATGTACAGAAGCATGGTGATGTGACATTTTCCTCTTAGGGAATATCAAGAGGTTCAAGTAGAACTAGAATGCGAGGGGACCCAGAAAGCAAGCAGAACAGCGACAAGAAAGGAAGAACGAAGCTGGAGCTAGATAAACACATCTTAGAAGTCCTCATAAAAACACCCAACCATTGCAGGATTTAAACAAGACCGTGATGAGATCAAATATGCTAACGATAGTAACTATCGCACTTTTTACTTTCAACAACAAAACCCTGCACTCAAATGAAATCTTATGCAAACTTTCATACTTAAAATTGATCGAAGTAAAACTGCATTGGTTGCAATTGGAACGAACTTATTTGATTTCCTTCAGAGGCCTTTACAAAACAGTTTCAAAACCAATGCTTTAGGCCCTGGCTAGGCAGATCAGTTGTGAAATGCCAAGGTTGAGGGTTCCACCCCTGGTCAGGGCACATAAAAGAAGCCAACCTATGAGTCTGTAAAATAAGTGGAACAACACATTGGTCTCTCCATTTCTCTCTCTCTCTCTCTCTCTCTAATCAATAAAGATTTTTTAAAAATCCACTGCTTTAGAAAGAAAAATTATGTATCTACACAATTACATTCGATACATACTTCCTACCTCTCCTATACTGGGATTCTAACTTCTCAGGTGTAAGGATTCATTCTGGTAGTTTCTCTTCAATTACAAAACTAGGCATATATAGACCTAAGCAGTACTAAGCCTTTAAAATTAATGACAAAAGTTGTAATACAGAAAAAAAGGAAGATAATCAGCTTTTGTACTCTTGAGTTAAACTAAAATTTAAGTGACTACATTTTCTAACCTAAAAGTTAAAATTTATGATTACATACAATGGCCACAGAATATTCAAAACTGGCACAGTTCTGGAAAATATAGATTATGATTGTAACTGGTAGGATGTAATTTTTTCAAGATTGGTGTACCTGAATTTTCTTAACAATGACTTTGCATGTGAAATTCCTTCCCCGTCTATCATTTAAGTACCTGTTCTCCCACCTTATAATACTGGGAGTTCTAAACGTGATCACTGAAAATGATCACCACTGTGAAATTGCTTATTTTTCTCCATCTAATCTGTTCCCAACAATAACATGTAAAACTAATTAGATATGCATTTGCCTTTCCTGACAATTTACTACTCTTGACTCTTCATGGTGAGAAGTGCTAATGAAACAGCAAGGTTACAATCCTACAGAAAAGCTATTTAGTAATTTCATGTTTGATAGCAAACAATTATGTTTACTTTATATGATTCAATCAAATCCCTACAATCCTCTCTACCTTTACCCTTCCCTGTTCCTCACTAATAGTTAGGAAACTAACCATTTAAGTAGTCTCAAGAATTTTTAAAGTGTCATCCCCTATATAAATAGTAAATTAATTAAAAACAAAGCCTCAAAACAATGCTAAACACATATTAAGAGTTATAGGACAATCTTACTTTTCTATATCAGATAATACACTTAGGAAAAAAACCCAACCAACAACTACCCTGGGCCACCCTAATGTGCATTAAAAAAAAGTTCTCCCACAGTGTGTAGGTGAAGACCAACTACTGACTGTCAGAGGAGGAGGAGGGGAGAGAAGCAGAGGATATACATTTAATCCTTCGACACATCATTTGAACATTATGTACAGTATATTCACTTACAGGCACGTTCAAGAAATGGTACTTAAATGGAAATAATATAAATGCCATTACAAGGAAAATACTATCCCAAATAATATCATAAACTCTAACGCTTAGCATTCAATGGATCATTTCTGGGCATATTCTACACTCCTAAATTTGCAAAAATAGCCAACTATTCTGCTATAAATTTGGGAGATACAGATAACTGTACATTATAGAAGAATAAAGTATATCACTTGTTCCAACCAAATTAGCGCATTTTGGGGAGGCAGCTTAATGAATTATTCATTTGCACTTATTTCAAATATAAAAGTCTGAGGACTTTCAAATAATCATTAAAAATAAATGATTTTTTGTTAACGGAAAGCTTCTTATTATAAATATATACTTGAAAGTAATCCTATAAAAACATATATCCTCATATGTAAAATACCAATAAAAACGATACCCAGTATCAAACATGTAACTATATTCATTTAACTATATATCCAATTAGAAGGTTTCAGAGTAAAATTTCTATCTCTTGTCCATTTAAGGGCAGGTTTTTTGAAAAATATTCCATACACAAATAGGTATTTTTAAGAGACTATACAATTATTCCTTTACTATTACATCAAATAAAGTTAAATGCTAATAAAAAATTTAAATTATATACTGTTTAATTGTCCACACAGTAATACAAAAATATTCATAAACTATCTCAAGATATATTTATATTTTCTCCTAGTTTGTGAAAATTGCAGTAACTTTTCTATTAGAATAACTTCTGATTAAACCACATTCAATATCTGATATTCAAACAAACTTCCAGATGGAACAGTTGGGGAAAAATACAGAGAACAGTTTCTATAATTCTGAACTTTCTATTGATGCTATAGATAAGATGACCCAACACTAAAAACCAGCATGACTGGAGTATGGAAAATATAAATATGCAACAGAGAAAGAAAGTCCTTTCAGGAGAATGAGCAAAATGCAACTTACAATCATCTGTGACTAGAATTCTGAACTCAGCCTTTCTTATTTTTAAAACTTTTGCTCAAGTTTCTGCACATTACAAGGTCTAAACATTTTTAAATCCCACTTCGTGGACTTACACGTACATATTAGTATTAGGTAATATTTTATGCTTAAAGCCTAGCAAATATTATTTCAAAACCCAATTTATATAAAGTATGTTGCACTACTGATTGCATTTTACAGAAAAGAAAACTGGGAATAGAAAAATTAAGTGACATTTAAACAGAGACACTGGGTTAAATAATGAAATTGAGAACATAAATCAGCCTTAAATTCCAATTAAAATTTCTAATCATTACTTTTTCCCCCAGATCGTGGCAAAAATAATTTTTAAATGTAATCTTTTTTTTTTTGCACGTACTTGAAAATTTTTTAAATTACATACTCTCATTAATGATAAATCTAAGTAATAAACTTATCTAGCTCACCATGCTCTACATTAACTATCCTTTGGGACAGTCCCTTGGGATTAAAAAAAAAAAAAATACTTCCCTTAATATCACATCTTCAATCTTCATTTTTACTTATTTGTTCAATAGAGGAACTAAGAGCCTGTTCCCCCTCCCCCCGCCAAAAAAAGGAAAGAAAAATCAGTGGCATCATTTGGGCCCTTCCTAGCATTTATATAATATTCAGTTCTGCTTGGATCAAATGGTGCCCATTATCCTAAGGTTGGGCTCTCAGCCCACAGTCAGCACGAAGATGAGTTCTTTCTGTCTAATGCATAAAACAAAACAAAAAACGATTCAACTTCTCAAAAGATAGTTGAACACGCGTATACCTGTATGCTTAGCGCTCATCCTTCCGATCCCTCCTTTAAGACTAAGACTTCTCTAAAGTGGGCAGGAGAGGTGTCACTCAAAGGCAGCCAGGCATGAAGAGCACAAAGCAAATCTGATGAATTACCCCCAATAAAGTCTGTGTCCAGTTCCTCCTCCTCTCCCTTATCCCAACAGAGCTGGAGCGAACTCATTAGCAAGTGCTCATGCTAAGTCACACTCAGTGATCTTTTTCACATCATCCAAACAAAATGATTTCAGAATGAAAACTCCCCAAGTATTTCATTTAACATCTCTTATGATTCCAAATAAGCCCAACTGCACTAACGAAAAGAAAAAAGAAATGCTCCCTTGAAGATTTAGAGTATGTAGTTCTTCTTTTATCAAAATAGAATTTTCCACAAGTGACCCAAATAGAACTGCATCTTAGGAAAATCAAGCCTTTAATTCTGGAGAATAATTTGCACCTAGAGAAAAATTCAAGGTAATGGTTTTCACTCTATGTGGACTTCAGACCAAATCTATTTATTTTAAATGTGCTGCAGCCTGGGTCTAACCACTTGTTGGCCTTTGCAGCAGGACCACCATCCTAGCGAGAGTATCTTGTAACAAGGTGCTTTTGATACCTAAGTAACTAAACTACCTTGGATGGGTTTCCAGACAAGCTTGACCATAAAATTCTGGCATTTTAATTATGTTTCAATGTACTCCTTCAATGGTAAAAGCACAAATCAGATGACAATTTCCCCTTTAAGTTAAAACATTAATAAGTAGCACGTAAGTAGCAGAACTTTGCATTTAAGAAGCCCATTAATACTACAATTTTGCCCCCAAACACTTTTGGGAAAGAGCCAATTCAAGGAACACATTGGTAAATCGTACAATATGCCAAAAATATGTTCCTCAATTGCTGTCTGCCAACTGATTTTTTGTTAAGTCACATCACATTTAATAACTATTCTAAAAAAAGCATTAATTATTTGAAGAAACCTTTTGGTGAGCCCTCTTTGTAAAACATGGAATTTTCATATAACATAACTAACCACTATTTAATTTACTGTATAATCTTACACTTGTAACTATCAAGTTTCTTACACTGAGCACAGCTGCTGTCACAGGTCAAACCCACCCCAGCACACTGCCCTTCTCCCTAGTTCCCAAATTCTAAAAATGCCACCCCAAAACCAGCTGTTCATCTGTGGTAGCGTACACAAGCAATACTAGAAAAGCTGAAAAAAGAAATTGAGTGATTATGTTTTTAATGTAAAATAGAAATGTAAAAGTAGTCCCAAAAGGGGTCAATAAATTATTTTTGGTAATACTCAAAATAATGCCCAATAAAAATTATTTTTTAAAAAAAAATCAAAATATGCCTCTCTTAGATCACTTTCCCATGTATGTTTATCACCTGGAAGAAAGCAAAAAATGATGATCTTCATGAACACTGACCTCCACGAGGCCACCAAGGTCAATGAGACCTCCAGGTGGGGGGTACGCTGAGTCAGTGCTGGTTAGGCCAATTCTAGAGTCTCCTTTAAAAAGAGAAGAAAGGGAAAAGGTAAATAAATAAAAATTTATTAACGTATCATAGGAAATCATGTTTTAGGTTGTACCCTTCAAGTACCCCAGGACAGGACTCTAGACATGTGCGAGCAACAGCCAACAGGAACAAGATGTAAAAGGGGCACCAGAACGCAGAACCAGGTAAAAAGTGCCGCACAGAAAGGATTAGCAAGGCCCGAAACTCCATAATCCTCCCTCACATCTTGTACTGAGAGCCTTGGGTATCCTGGCTACGAGCCACAATGACTCAATTTCAAAATGAGGGCTCTCTGTTGACAGAACTTCTTGAAAAAGACAAACCACCAAAGATCCTTCATTGACAGAAGCCCCCACAGGTCAGAAAGGCACAAACTTGCACATGCCGAACCTACCTGTTGACATTAAATTCTCCGGGGAGGGTGTCCTGGCAGTTCTCTGATTGGCCACCAAAGACACCTTCAGACATTTCCTCCGCTGTCACAATCCCGAACCTTTCACAAACCAGACATGTTCTTGAGTGAGATTTAAATTTTAAACACGTGACCCACTTGGTATAATCTGTTTAAGCTAAACTCAAAAAACCTTATCATTTTGAAATTTCCAAGTAACTTTCACTATGAAAAAAACCTGGGAGAGCTAGCACTTGATCATTTAAGAGTGACTCAAAGGAGAGCAGTTTAACTGGATAATTCGTTCCCACGTTTGGTACACAGGTAGCATGCGTTACAACAGTGGAAAATTAAGAGGAAAAACAATCAGCAGAAGCACTGGTTTTTCACAGTCAGCAGGGTGCTGGGCTGGGAGCGGTCTTCCCAGTTACTTCCAGGGAAGCTCCTGATTGGTGGGTGGCGCTGGGTCAATGTGATTACTTAACCCTGGCTGTTAGAGCTCAACTCCGCTTTGATAGGCTCCAAAGCTTATTACAAAAAGGCGACTGCTATAGCATATCAAGTACTTCACTGTCCTCCTATTTTTCTCCCACGGTACACGGAGCCTGACACCTGAAACTCATCAGACAAACATCACCTTGTTTGGAGGCTTTAGAGTTTGTATTTAGTATTTTTAAAGTCCACTGGGCGTAGATTCAGTTGGGGGGTGGGGGCGTGTATGTGAAAGATTAACCCATTTCCTGCATAACCAGAGAAAGACTTCTGACCATTCAAGCAGTTCCCTCTCTCCCAAGTAACTTTTTACCCTTTAGTCCTAAAATAACCACGAGCAGCAGACATCAAGCACTGGCATGGCAACGTCCGCACATCATGCCCTAGTCGGCTTCGTTCCTCTCTGGTTCCCATCCAGATGGGGCTTCCCGGCCCCTCTCGCTTCCATCCTGCCCTGCCTGCTTCCCCCGAGTTTTGCTGAAATCGCCACTTTCGCTGGCCGGGGCAGAAGCAAGGCACCTCGTCCCAAGGGCAGAGTTTCTCTCAACTGCCCAACAAACATTTCCTGAAAGCTTCCTGCGGGCCCCGGCGCGCACCTGGCCCGGCCCCTCGCCCCCCTCCCCGCACTTCACCAAGCCCCAGAGAGGGGCCCACCTGCCTCCTGTCGCCCGTCCCCACGCCCGGGTGGCCCTGCCAACTCCTGGCCAGTGGCTGCACTCCCCCTGTCCCAAACTCCCACCACTCCGGGGCCCGACCCCGAGGGGCAGCGGCGCCAAAAAAGGCCCCGCGACAGGCTGACCCCGCGACGCCCCCCAGAGGCCGGGTCCCGAGCGCCTGTCAGCGCCCCCGGAAGGGGTCGGGCAGGGGGCTGAGCTCGCCGGGCGCCCTGTCCTCTGACATCCTCTCCCCACCAACCGCACTCACCTGGCGGGCTCTCGCCGAGGCGGTCGGGGGTCGCGCGGGGAAGCCGCCCGCCAGTCCGCCGCAGCCCCCACCCTGTGGCGCCCGCGCCCGCTCCCGGCCGGCGCGCGCCCCAGGCCCGACGCGCGCCTGAAGCTCCGGGGGGGAGGGGACGCGGGGACGCGCCAGCGCCGGGGGTAGGGGACAGGGGGAGAACGGACATGGGGGCGGGGGCAGGGGGCGCGACGAGAGCAGCGGCTCGGCGGCGTCGGCGGAGAGAAAGCAGCCTCGGCCGCGTCCGTCATGGCCTGCGGCGGCGGCGGCTCCTCCGGCCTCCCCGCTCGCTCGCCTTTAGTTTGACCTTTCCCTCCAGTGTGTCGGAGGGAGAGCGGCGGTGCGCGCGCGTGTGCCTGTCTGTGTGTGTGCGCGCGCGTGGGGAAGGGGCCGGGTTCGCTCCCCGACGCCTGACGTCACTGTCATGGCAACGGCGGCCCAGCCCCTCGCCTCCCATTTCCTGCCTCCTCCCCCTGTGCACGTTCCGGGGCCTCACGTGCTCAGACGCACGCACGCACGCACGCTCGGGGCGCGTGCGCCCAGAACACTGGGAGGGGCTGGGAGGTGGTAGGTCATCTGGGCCGTCCGGTTGCCTCCCTGAATTCGACCAATCCGGTGAGGAGGAACCGTGGGCGGGACGGGCTCGTCTGGCGGAGCGGCGAGAAAAATTTCCCGAATCTGAGCAAAATCCCTGGCAAAGCACGCTGGGTGGTGAAAGGAGTGCGTTGCCCGGGAGTTTAGGGAGGAGGAGCTGGCGCCGTCGGGTAGTTGAGGAATGGGAACCCGGCGCACCAATTTAGGGGAGGTTAACCCCGATCAAACGGGGACCGCGAGTCAATCTCGATTGCAGTGTGGCCCTGCCACTAAAGCTGGGTGACCTTGGACCTGTTACTTGAACACTGAACCGAATGCCTTGAGACACCATGGCGCTTCTGAGGGTTAACAGAGAAGGTGGGGAACGTCTCACCTGGCACGTGGTAGACCCTCAGTGTGGACCCCACAACCTCCTTATTCTACAAATGGGGACACAGGACGCAGGGAGATTTAAAAGATTAAATGACTCGTTTACCGTCAGGTAGTGGCAGAGACCCAGGCTCCAAGTTCCGTACTCCTTCCCTACCTGGCCTTCCCTCGTGGGGTCCAGGAACAAATTCCAGGAACACCCTAATGAGCTCCCTTTGCTGTCTATGGATCTTTTCTTGGTTCTCCCATTTCCCGTTCCTGCAAAAGTTGGGTTAGAATTAGAACTCGGGGCCTTGAGGCTGCACAGCCCTGGTGCGACTTTTGGAGACAGTTTTCCGGCCTCTTTGTTGGCTTCTGATCCAGGGACAGGATGCAAACTTAGGGGGCGCCTGAATTTCCTCTAAAGTTTATTGGTTCAATTTTAAACACGGGAACGAGGAGCTCCAGGTCCTCTACGGTTTCTTGCTAGCTGGGGAAAGATGAACTCAGTGAGCCAACATTTATCCAGCGTCCAGGAATGCCTTTCCAGGCCGGAAGGAGCCTGTGACCTCAAGGCTGCAGGCCCCTTAGGATTCAGGCTCACTGGTGACCTCGTCATTCCTCCAACTTGTGCGTTAGAGCTCTTTGCTCTAACTTAACTCTTGATCACTTGCTGCCGCCCGGTATTTCTTGAATGTTGTAGTGCTGTTTAACTAGATTTGCTGTTAACTTTGTAATTTACAGAGTGCTAAGCGTCTGTCTCCCTGTCTTGTACCTCCAAACCTAAAACTGATCTTGGGAAAGCACGTTGCCCAGTTCTTCAAACATGCCCCTGTGTTTCCCACTTTCTTTCTAGGAATTCATTCATTTTACCCTTCCAAGTTCCAGCTAAAATGTAGTCTCTTCCAAAAAGTCTTGCTGGACCTACTCAGCTGGAGTGAAATAGTCGTCCCTTTTCCAAAGGATTTGGTTTGTACCTTGCTTGGGGATACTCTTCCTAGTAGACTTTGTGTTCTGTGATTTATGCACGTCACCTTCGGAAAGCTGCTGTGAACATCCATGGAAAGGTTGCCTGTTCCTTTTCCTTGCTCCCTTTAAGGCTTAATACGGCATTCTTTAAGGCTTAATTTGCCGTCTCCATCAGATTGTAAAACTCTTCAATGGCAGGAGTCATGCTCCACTTGGCATTTCCAGCACCTTTCTCAGTACTGCAACCCTCCCGAAGAGTAGGCTCCCTGCCTATTTCATGCAGTCGTTAGTGACAGACTTTACCTTGTTTATATGGTATTTCTGAACCAAAGATTTTCTGGGAAGTTAGTTCTCCATAAGTCTTGGACTATACTCTAAAACGTACCAGCAACTACACGGTCACACTCCTGCTACAAAAGAAGGCGTTGGCCGAAGCACAAGATACTGAACAGAGCGAGAGTAAGAGGTCCAGGGGAAGAAGAGGCAGGCATTTCTTAACTGCTGTTGGGGACCTAGACTGAGAGATTTTCAGAGGGTAGGGATGAGATAGTAGGCACATTACTCCAAGACATATCAGTGATGCTGCTCCCCCCAAAAGAGGAAAATTATATAAAGAGGAGTCTTGAAAAAGATCAATCAGTGTTGGCTTACTCTGAAGAGATAGCGTTTGTTCCTTTGTTTAATTTGGCACAATAATCCAAAGCCCGGTGGTGTGCTAATGTGTAGTAATTGCTATTTTGGTATGCCAAATAATTCACTGTGCGTGTGTCAGTCCTTCCCAAGCCTAGTCCTCTTATTCCTGATTGTGTTAAGGGCTCCGCCAAGCACCCAGAAGAACGAGTCAATCTCAGTTTATCCCCATCTCCATTCTGTCAGTCTTTGAGTCCCATAAAGTCTTCCTCGTAAATTAGGATGGTAGCCGTTACTGTTTCCCACACCCTCAGGCGCTGCCTTAGTGTGAGCCTTTATTATCTCTCATCTGAACAGAAACCCAACTGGTCTTTTTACCCCTTCGTGGGCCAGTCTAGCCCAACTTCCACTGTACCCCAGACTCGAGAGGGACTTCCTGAAAGGCAGAAAATTGAGCCCAACCCTAAACAGCTTAAAAGTCTTCATGGCCCCTTGGCTTTTCAGGGAAGAGACCAAACCTCTTCAATGTCTTCTCAAGTAACTTCTTCAGCTGTGTCTTCCATGGCTTTTAAAAGAACTCTTGCTCCACAGATGTTCAAAACTTGCAGAAGCCTCACGTGTGTCATGTTTTCTCTGCTCATCCACCTAGAATTCTCTGCTCAGGGTCTCTCTCCCAGGTTAATCCGATGATGCTTTTTAGGTCTGAGAGAACAGCCATGCCACATTCCTCTGGTATAGCTCTTCTTACTGTGTTGTAAATATGCTGTTTGTGATTACATGTCTTATCTTCCCCACCGGAATATGAGCTACTTGAAGTCTGGGGCCTTGGCTTATTTTATTCATGTTTGTAACTCTAACACCTACCAGAGTGTCTGGCACAATGTGGACACTCAATAATTATTGAATGAATGGACGTATTAGAAGATTCATGAAGGAAAACAGCTATTACATTTCTTTGATTCGCACAAGGCCATGTCCAGTACTCTGCCAATAATAAGTAAGTAGGTACTTGAAATAACAGCAAATCAATGAAAGGGTAGTAATGAGGTATGAAAAACCTACCACATATCAGAAACTTAATACTTTCCATTCATTAGCTGAGTTAATCAATCCCCTGTCAACCCTATACTGTTGGCATTGGTGCAGATAAGGAAACAGAAGCTTAAGAAGGGAACTCGACTGGGCCAAGGTCACACTTTTAGTTGCTGGCCAAGTCCAGTTTGATTACGACTTCACCTAATTTGGAAATGGGCTATTAGGGAAAACATCCTGCTGCTGCTCATGACTCGCACATTTTCTTGTGTCCTCCCTCATGTTGTCACGACCATAGGCTTCTCCTTGGTATCAGAGAAATACCAGGGCTCTCTTTGCTTCAACAGGGAGAAGTGTAGTGCACATTCACAACATGTGACATATGCCAGGCCACCTGGGGTGACTCTTGGCCTTTAAAAGGCAGATCTTAAGAAGTGGGGCTAAAAAAGAGCCATGTGCGAGTGTTTGCATAAGTGCCTCATTAGGAAAAGGGGAAGAACATTCAGCTGTGTGTTGAGGGACTTTTTGGCTCCAGAATTACCGAGAGGCCCCTGGAGTGTGAGCGGGGCCTCCGGCAGGGTTCCAGGCATGCCCTGGAGTGGCGCGCACTCGCCTCCATCTGGGAGGGTCATTGTCTTGGACCAGAACATAAACTTGCAGGGAGAGGTGGTGAACGAGGAAGAAGTGGGGAAGAGAGAACCCACACCTACCCAGTTAACAGGACCGGCTCAGCCAGTCCTGAGGATGAACAAGGTGAATCCGCTGTTCTACCTTCATAGCCGGTCAAGACTGATGTGTTGAAGTTTGCAAGCTGTGTGCAGGCTGTGCTCACATGGGCGTCTATATGAATGGCATCCTCTGGGGCTGTACAGTGCCCAACCTGCATAAACATGTACCAATACTGAGTGACATGTCCCAGGCACATCTCTGTCTATGGTGGCAGTTTAAATGATCCTGATTATACGTCTGACAATACAAATCAATATACAGAATGCCTACCAGTTACTGTCTAAGAAATCTCATTGAATTTTATTGTACAAAGTTTTATCTAAATATTTGTACATGTTTCAAAGTGCTTAGACTGGTATCACTACCATTCATGTGTTTATTATTCTAATAAACAACAATTGAGCATAAGTTCCATGTATGATTCAATAGGTTGGATGTGACAAATGTATTAAACACTAACTACGAATCTTAGAAAAACTATTAACTGATCTTTTAAACAGTAAAAGTTTATGGTTTTCTTCAGTTTATTTATACCATTTTATGCATGAAACTGTTCTCCAAATCCTCTTTATTTGATCAATGCGTATCCACTAAAATCTGGAGATGACAATGGTTCATCCATTTCAAACAATCCAATACACCAGAGTGCCCCTGAATATAATGAAGCTTTTTATATACTTATTTTCTGTGTTATTTTTCCTTCTTGGCCCTGCCAGAAGAGGTGCCAGAAAGTTCAGTGGGCTGCTTTAAGGGTCTCCTGGGGGGGCCGGGGAGACCCTCTTTAGCAGAGTGAGCCCATGGCTCCATTGTCCAGGAAAGAGTGTGAGCAGGCTTGGTGGGTCACTCTGTGGAAGAAAGCTGACCTCCATGTGCAAGCATTTGATTTGGACTGTTAGCAAGGAAGAAATGAAAATTTGGGAGGTGGTTTGTTCTAGAAGTAAGCTTTCCTCAGTGGATTAAGTAGAAAAGTAACTAGTATGACCATATTTATACCCCCAAATTTGGGGAGCTGCTCCTACAAGTGGGGTTAAAGTCTCAATTTTGGAACATCCCC